TTTGATATACAGTATGTTTGTAGTTGTTATTATAATAAACTTTAAATAAGCGATCTTGTTTCTCAATAGAATAATTTCTAGTATTAGCTAAATTATATTGCTCTAATATCAATGAGTATGTGAAATTTGATACAATAGCTAAAATGCTTTTAAGCAATTTAGGACATTGCTAAAGAGTACTTCTACATATATGATATTGTTGATATTCTGAATGTTGAAGTTGTTGATAAGATAATTTATCCAATGTATTTATTAACTCAGGTAAAGGTACTGTATGACCAAGTAAACGTTTTAGATGTGCATTACTAGCCTCTGATCGTTGTGTTGTTCTTATTCCATAATTAGTATTTTTATTAGTAAAACAGTATGCTCATGCATATGAAAGAGGTTTCTATTGCTCATTCATATAATTTTCTACTTCAGGATACTCTACCAAAAGATCATTCCAGTTTGTTTTAAACATTTCTTCAGTATTTTGTATTATTGTAATTTTGAAATTTTTACTAAATGCTAAAAATCTATTATCAAGTTTGCCAGTTAAATTTTTAACTATATTTTGTTCTAAATGCCAAATACAAAGTTGGTGTTTGACATGTGATAACCCATTTCGAATAGATGAAAGTATAGCAAGATCTCTATTAGTTAAGATAGTTTGAATTTTATTTATAGTTATATCACTGACTACTTGTTTTAATTGTTGAAGTACGCAACAAAAGCTTGATATAGTTTCATTTGAAATAAGTCTACTTGCAATTAAAAATATAATTCCTATTGCATCAATTCCACTAATAAGTAAAAGTGGTATTCCAAAATGATTGGTTTTGTATGTTGAGTCCATTAATACAATTTGAGAATATTGTTTGAGTACCATTAATGAATTAGAAGTAGTAAAAAATAAACTATAAAGTTTATTATCCAACGTCCCAATATGATCGCATGATGGGGATTTATGTGTTATTTTTTTTACACTTTATCACTAAAATTGTATTAGAGTTTTTATATACAGTTATTTCCCCATATAAGCTATTATTACATATTGTTATTTTCCTGAAAATATCAAATTTTTATTTTTTTTAATTGGTAAAAAACATAGTTACGAATATAAAGCTAAAAATACTTTAAAATTCTAATTTGTATTAATTTGTAATAAAAGAAATTATATAAAATTCAAATACATTATTTCATAGTAATTTTTATTTTAATATTGCAATTAAAACAATTTTTAACAATAATTTGTGGTATTTCTTAAGCAGTATTTGAAGTGATAGCTGGAAGAATCTTTTGTGTATCTTCTTCAATAATTTTTTCCAGAAGAATCTCTTGTGTATTCTTTTCAATAATTTTTGCTAAAGATCTTTTGAGTGGACTGACAAATGGCTTTGATGCGTCAAATAGTTTAAAAGGTCTTGGTTTTGTAATTCTAGGACGAATTCGATAAGCTATTTGATTGTCTGAATTAGAAATAGGTACAAGTGGTAGTCATGATGATTCTGGAGATTCTACAATATTTTGTTAATTAATATTATTCTAAAAATGAATTATTAAAATAAAATTGATAATTACCCAGAATAATTATAGCAACAGTAGTATTCATTATTTTTTTTGTGAAAGTTTGATATGAAGCAACACCACCAAGTGAATGATGTCCACTAAATGCCATAATTCGATCAGTATTTACATTAAGCTATGTGAGCATCTGAATTGCAGTTTTTCTTAGTAAATGATTGGTTATTTTTTTTAGGTTCATATTAATAACACCCATTGTTTCACATATTTTTCTAATCATTTTTTCATGAGCATGGTGTCCAAGTGGAAAATCATAAAACCAGACACCTTTTTCGAAATCTAGTAACAAAATGCATATTAATTGATCATATAATAGTAAGAAAATAAAAATAAATAAATACCTTTTTTATAAGCAATTTTTAAGAAAAATTCTTTCAATGTAAAATATTTTCCATGCCGAAGCATATAGTATAGAATATCATGAACTGGAGTAAATTTATCTTGTGTATCAGGTGGTATTCGACATACTCGACCTGAATTATTTAAAATTTTCAAACCACCTGCATGATTCTTTTTACGAGGTATAATAACAGTTAGACTATTCAAATCACCTTCCTTTACATTATCAAATTGAAGTCGTTTGGCATCTCCACCACGTAAGCTACACAAGAGACATAGCCAAAAGTAAACTCTATATGTAATAGCAGTAGGTGTATCTTGTAAAAGTTCTTCATGGTTCAATATTTAAGCTATTTCATTATTTGTAAGTGAATCACTTTTATTAACTTTTCGCGAACTTGTATCTTGAACTAACTTAATTTTCTCATCAATTGTTGAGTATAAACGGGGAAATTGATTTTTATCGAATATATTTGGCTTGGGATCTTGACAGGATTTATTTAAAAGATGCTAGGCAATTCCACAGTAACAATTGTGAATTGATATAGGTGCATATGGTTGTCCATTCTTTCTTTTAAAGGCAACAAAAAATCTAATAAGAATATCCTCCAACTCAGTATGACCTTTAACTTGTGTAATATTACCAGAAAGTCTTAAATTTTTAAAGTATTTATTGATCATATTTACCCAAGTTTGGGTATTATATTTAGTATTTTTCACTTTAGAATAATCTATAATGTGATCAATGTCTTTCTGAGAAGGTGCTTGAAAACGAAACTAAAAAAAAGTTAAAAGTATTATAAAATATCATAATTTCTATTAACTAATCCAAATATAAAATAAAAACCCTAGTTCTATCTTCGTTTTGACCTTCTTTATTACTAGTTTCAGATTCATTCTTACAAATATAATCATTATCAAGAGTGCTGTCACTACTATCAATACTGTTAACAGAGTCACTACATCAGCAAAAATATATATGCGTAAACTTTCGTAAGTTTTTACGGTGCGTAAGAAAATCATAAACCTACGTAAAAT